GTCCGCCACAAATATTGAAGTCGTAATATCACTAGAAAAGCGTTTAAAGCACATAAAATCATATTAAAATATATACATTTACAAGTATGTACTGTATTTACAGTACAGTACATGCATTCGTAAATTTAGATTACTTTTTTCTGTACTCTATTAAAAACTAAAATTTATTTGTTTGTAAGCTTAAAATAGATTCTTATTAACCATATATTATTAAAAATGCATTAATAAATAAAATACAGAACTGGGAATAGTAATTTATAGTTTAGCCTAGTGACAAGTAGATTCGGAGACAAGTAAATTCGACTTACGTCGTTTTTCGACTTACGTCGTTTTCCTGGAACCAATTACTGACGTAAGGTGAGGTATACCTGTATTTGCCTTTGCATTTCTTTCTGCTTTACAGGCGAATACCTATATGGTCTGAGGATGCCCCACCAGTTTCGAGCAGTCTCGATGGCATGTTCTACGTAATTGGTGAGTCCAGGTTTGTCACTAAAAATATGTAAAAAATTATTCAAAACAGTTTTTAGTTTTGTTAAATTTTCTCCTTTTAATGGCGTCTGTAATTCCTTTAAGTCGCCTTTAACCCTTAACCCTGTATCTGGGATATCAATTTCCATTTCTAAGTTACGAAAATTTAACAATACCGTATATTTTTGTAGGAAGTCTTTTCCAAGCAGGCATGGAAGTATGAGTCCGTCAATCACAAGTTCATGGGGTAATAAGGTATTATTTAATCGAAGATTGGCCATAAATACGCCCTTTATTTTATAGTATCTGCCCTCTATGGCTAATTTAATGTCCGGGCCTGGGCGAAGAATTATCCCCGGGGATTTTCGAATAATTTGGCGCCATATGTCCGCACTTATTAGTGAATGGTCTGCACCAGTGTCAATTCTAGCATTAGTCATTACGTTGTTAATAAATAAGGTCAGTTCTGGTAAGTTTGTTTTAGTTTTCAATATTAGTCCCAGTTGAGAGGGTTTTTCATACCTCAAGGATCAAGCCTCCCTTCTTGGCCTCAGTATTAGTTTAACTTCCGGGTTCCCCACTTACCTTGCACCCGTATAGGGTTAATGTTTTCAGAACCGTTTGGTGTTCGGGTCACTTGTTTTCGGGACAGTTCCTTGAATAATGCCCAGTAATTCCACAAGTATAACATCGTACAGGAAATCTTTCGATCATCTGAGACCCTCTTTCTGCACTAGGAGGTTGAGTCGGTGTGCGTTCAGGCAAACTTTGTCTCAAATTATCAATTCGTTCAACAGGTCGGGGGGCTGGTCTGTTTTCTTCAAAATTCGTATTCTTTGGCAGATTGCACTAATTCATTAAGAGAATAACAATGTCTAATTTCTAGATACTCACGTAAATTTAAAGGCATTTGAGTCGTTATGCATTGGACGATCTCTTCGTCCCTGGCGTAGGGTTTCCACGCACGGTACAGCTGAACAGTGTCCCAAATGTACTGTTCGACACCAGACATACCATCATACGTTTGGCTGAACAATTTCTTTGCTAGAGCGACTTCATCTGTAAGACAAGAATACAATTCTTTAAGTAAATGAGAAAAGAGAGGCCAGCTATTACCTACTCGTTTCCTTCCATCATTCCTCCACCATTTAGCTGGAGGACCTTCTAATAAGAAGGCGGCTGTAGCTCTTCACCTCAGAGATCGTACCAATGAACTTGGACACAAAAAAATATTGTTCAAGATCCTGAGTAAAGTCGACCACCAGATACTCAGAGGTTCCGTTAAATGTTTTAGATGGCGTGGGTTGGGCATTGACAATTACCACCGAAGAATTTGGTGTCACTGGTTGGTGAGGGGTAGATGCACCTGTTGGCGGCATATTGGGAATGCTTTCCTCTGGATCAGTTCGGCTCTCGGTGGTGGCTCCACCTGCTTAAAAGATAAGACAGAAGCGATACTTGCCATACTTTGAGTCAGTGCAGCAACTTGCTGCGATAACGTTGTCACCTGGCGTTGCAAAGTCCCGAACTCACCTCACAAGTAATGGTATCCTCTCCAGACATTATTTTCTTGTCCACACAAAACAAATACCCCAACGGCTAAATCTGAAATAAATTGAAAAACTTTCTTTTGACCAATAAAGGTCTCTGTTCGGGCGCCAGTTATGTAACGCACCGTTTTCGGAAACAAAAATAGGTTACATAATAATGGGGTAAGTACCAGGCCTGGACTTTCCAAAACAAACAATAATTTCCATAACCACAGACAATATTTAACAATAAATATAAAGTTTAATTCTATTGACAAAAAACAGACAATAATGGGTTAATTGACCCCAATAGAAGGGTAACTAATTGAATAATTGAAAAGTAGTAACAAAATCAATAATCAAAGAAACTTGTATGTATATCTAATCAACAAAACTTTTATCTCCACCTTAAAAAAAAAAGGATTTTACAGCAAAAGATAAGATTTCCTCTAATTTATCACCACCGTCTCTCCCACAGTGGTCACCTGAAGCTACCTACCTCCATCATGGATGTGCCGCCTTTTATTCTACCTCGAGTGCAGCTCCGCACTGTCTTAATTTACATAAGTTGTTGTTACAGGATCAGGCACTGATGCAAACTAAGTTTGCTTTTTCTTTCATGGTCACAGGTGCTTAGGAGTTTGTCCTTAACAAAAAAAAGAACCCAGAAAAGAAAATAATTAAATAAAAATAACGCCCCAAAATATAAAATAACGATCAGACATTGACTCCTTTACAAACAAATTAAAATGTTTCTATGGTTTAAAAATGTTGAAAACTCTTCTTCCATTAGAATGTTTGAGATTGCCAAGGATGAGAATTCAAATTCTCATTTTGAATGGAAAGAAAATGGACTCTCGATTTGAGGTTTGATATGTTTTACTAGATAGTTATATAACATGGGAGTCATTATTTCCTTGTGTTGAGAATCTACTCTCTATTTAGTTGTTGAGTTTTTCTCACACTGCATGTAAATTGTTAAAAATTCAATCTGCTGCAATTAATTTAGAAAATTTAGATATTTTGATAGATGCAATACGCATAGTCACATTCTTTTAAATTAAAATATTTGATAAGAGTTTAATTCTGATGAATACTAAAAAGATTTTTATATCTTCTTTCTTTCGAGTGAAAATATATAAATAGTATTATTTCTCTTAAATTACCATTTTTACAATATAGCAACAAAGTGTAGACCAAAGAAAACATTATCTTTTTTATTTTGTACAAATTAAAAAAATTTGACATATGTTGAAATTATCCATACTACCAAAATGACATAATCTATGAAACTATTGCACACCAGCACAAAATTACTGACAATAGATGATCATATATAGAATATTTTAACCACTCTGCAGTGATTGATGGATATACCTGTCAAGGGCGATCATGTGGCACTGGAGAATGACGTTTATATCCGCAAAAAAATCTAGCCAAAAATTTACATAAAAAAGGAATTATGTGACAATAAAGAAGGATTTTTCTTTATTACACAACTGTCTAAAACATTTTTTTTTGGAAACGAGAAAAACGTGTGGGAAAATTCTTAAAAAAATTTTCCACATTTATTCTCCACTACATCGTAATAGTGCCATATCTGACTAATCCTCTCTACAAAGGTTAACTAACAACACAATCTCCATACAGTTTCCTCCTTTGTTTTATAAAATTTCTTCATTCTGTCTTCAAACACTTCTCTTGCTTGAACTCTCAAAAGCAATCATAATGACAATACATTCCTTGGTTCATTTACTACTATGGGGCAAGAAAATCAGATTAAGAACAGAGGACTAAGATATTCAGGGTCTGTTAGTTTCAGAAAGTTCAATACAATGCACGGGATTACAATACAAAATAATAATTTACAAATTTTTTAAACAGGTGTATAGATTTTGTTTGAAATGTTAATAATTCATTGATCCTGAAAACATTTAAATAAATATTTGTAACTTCTTCAATGTTATATAATAAGTCACATACGTTATTAGTAAGTTCTGTAGAATTCCTTATTTAGAACCATTTTATATTTTTTTATGAAATTTTTGTTAATAAACTTAAAAAAATTGAATGAAGTAATTATTTTTAAGTATCTAAAGCTGGATTTTGTGGTCTTGTCTATTGCAATAATATTAAATTATTCATACAGTATTATGATGATTCTTTCAAATATGTATAATATGATATTAACTTTTGACATTTAAAATTTTAGGTTGGACTCCTTCAAAATTATATCATGGATTTCGAAAACCTAGTGCTCGTCTGGTATCTTCTGAAATAATAACTACAGAGAATATAACACCTGATTCTGAATATTCTCATATGCTTATGCAGTGGGGTCAATTTTTAGATCATGATTTGGATTTTTCTCTTCCTGCTGTTAGTCATGCAAGTTTTGTAGATGGTGTAGATTGCAGTGTATCTTGTGAATATTCTCCTCCCTGTTTTCCTATTGAAGTTCCACCCGGAGACAAAAGAATTCGGAATCATCAGTGTATGGAATTTGTTCGATCAAGTACACTCTGTGGATCAGGTTTAACATCTTTATTTGTTCCCGAAATAATGCCTAGAGAACAAGTCAATCAACTCACTTCATTTATTGATGCTTCTAATGTATATGGTAGTACAGAAAAATTAGCTCTTCACCTCAGAGATCGTACCAATGAACTTGGACTACTAAGAACTGGACTTGTCATGCACTCTGGAAAACATCTTTTACCATTTAATGATGGCCAACCTGTTGACTGCAAGCGAGATCATCAAGAAAGCAGTATGGACTGTTTTCTTGCTGGAGATCAAAGAGCAAATGAACAATTAGGTTTATTAGCAATGCATACTTTATGGATGAGAGAACATAACAGAATTGCTACTGATTTGCATTCCATTAATTCTCACTGGAATGGTGATAAATTGTATCATGAAGCAAGAAAAATTGTGGGTGCTGAAATGCAACATTTTACCTATACTCACTGGTTACCAAAAATTCTTGGGGAGAAAGGAATGAAGATGCTGGGTTCTTATCAAGGATATAATCCAAATGTGAATCCTTCTATAGCTAATGTTTTTGCTACTGCTGCATTGAGATTTGGTCATACACTTATTAATCCTATACTTTTGAGATTGAATGCATCTTTTCAGCCCATACCAGAAGGAAATCTTCCTCTCAGAAAGGCTTTCTTCTCTCCATTCAGACTTGTCGAAGAAGGAGGCATAGATCCATTACTGAGAGGTCTGTTTTATGCAGCTACCAAATTAAGACAGTCTGATCAAATTCTTAATTCTGAACTGACAGAACATTTATTTGCAGTAAGTTTAAAATTTTAATTGTATTACTTTTACAATTATTGCTCAAATATAANTACTTGAAAAGAGATCTTTTCCATAAATATTAAATAGAGAAACTTTTGTTATTTGAATTATTAAATATATAATTCTTCATTACAAAATTGCAACATTTTGTAATGAAATCATGTGACTTTCAATCTTTCAAACAAAACATGTATGTGGGTCTCATTACTGTATATTTCTAATTGTTTGAAGTTTTTTAGTTTAAAATAACACTAGAATTAATGATAATTTCAGAGGCAAAGAAATGATACTGCTAAATTAAAGGTTGGCTATACATATTACTTTAAATTTGCATGGACATTCAAATTTCTTTTTCATATGTTTTGCTAGGAATTAATGGAATAAGTTTTCTGGTTATATCTTTAAAATTAAAATTATTGTTAAACTGACATTATTCTGTTATATTCATTGATTACCTTCAAGAAAAGCTAAATAGAAGTTTAATAGTTTATACATCATATATTATATAAGATCAGGATTTCTCAAATGGTTGGGAATGCTTTTTCAAGGATTACAAGATTTTTTTGAAAGGGGGTCAAGGATCCTGGCAATTATATTTATATTTGAGTGTTTACCAGATATTAAAACCTTGGAGAGTTAATCTTGAATCTTTTGTATTTACAATTTATAATGCTTATGCAATTCAATTGTTAGGGTTGCAGGATGGGTGCTGAAGCAGTGATTGCTCTTTTTGATGCTACTCCTGAATCAGAAGCTTGTGTTATTTCACTAGCTGGAAATCAAGCTGTTCGTCTTCCACTAATGAAATGTGTACAAATGGNAACGTTAGATGGCATTTGCACATCCAAGCCCATTACATCATAAAAATGTAATAAACATTTCAAATTTTATAATCTGATCTAGGATATGCTTTTTCATCACTCATAATTAACAGAATTTAAACCTAAGGAGGTTTATTTAAAGATAAATTAATTTCTATTTAAATTTTACATAAATTTATTTTATTTATATATAATAAATACCTCAAACTGTTATACATAAAGCAATTAATATTCTGCCATGGCTCTTCTTAGAAGTTTCAGTCATTCTAATGATAAATCTAAATCGAGTTTTTTTACACTGATTATAATTAACAGGTGATAACTAGAAGCAAGATTGCAAACAACTGTGAAGCAAAACCAATATGGCCAACAAACACTTGGCACATTCTTATTTGCACATGCATAACAACAACGATGCATTGATGTCAATAAAGGATAAAATATGATTGTTTCCACAATTTTATAAAATAAAGTTTTAATGTGAAACTTTTCTTATGCTTATACTGGTACATTATGCATAAACTCGCTATTATTTGTAATAACATCTCCAGATTAATGAAATTATGAAATTCAAACTTGTTGAAAAGTATCAAAATTTTTAAACTGAAATATAGAAATTCTTTACTACTATATTATCAAGATTTAAATAATGATTTAAACACGATAATAAGACTCTCCAACAAATTGAATTATTTTTATCAATATGAAACAAAACTATATTAATAAAATTTTCCTAACTGACTAATATGAAACTTATTTTGTTAATTATGGAAAATATTAATTGTTGGCATGTACGCAGTAGATACTAACTATTCACTTTTTAATTTTAAAAAATTCACTTAAAACAGATTCATAACAATAAAGTATAGTTTAGAAAATTGATTTAATAAAAAAAGGATAACTTAAAAAATGTTTTGTAGCATAATCTCTTTGTTGTTTTGGGAAAAAATATCCCATTGATTAAGTTCTGCTGCTATCTGAAGATATAATCTAATAATTTGGTTAATAAGAACTTTACTGTATTTTCAAAACATATTGGGTTATAGTGTTAACATTCATTTATTATAATGGGTAAATAATTCAAAACAGTAGCTTATTAAAAATGGATTGAAAGTCTTTTGGATTTTACTTTAATTTCATATCAATACAATAGAATCAGTTATGGATATTGTTTTTAGCCATTTAATGTTATCAGTACTAGCAAGATTTTAAAATACATGTTATGTCATGTGTGTTAAAATCTTGCACACATCACACATTAACACATATTTTTTAATATATGTTAATGTGTCATGTGTTAATATATAATTAATACACATATTAATATTATCAGTACTAGCAAGATTTTAAAATACATGTTATGTCATGTGTGTTAAAATCTTGCACACATCACACATTAATATATATTTTTTAATATATGTTACTGCGAAAGACCGATATCTGGCAAATGTTGAGATTCTCCGGTGAATGTCAGCATTCACACAGTCGTTTTGTGTATGTACGAAATATTTGTTAAATATCATTGTTTCTCACTTACACCGGCAAATGTCAGCATTCAGCATGCACTGACGATGAATGTTGAATAAAAATTTTTTTTTTACATTAAGTCAAAAATGCAACTTTTTAATATGTCAAAATAGGAGAGAACTTAAGTAACAGCACATGTAAATAAATTGTTGAACTTAAAACAAACAGTACATTCTTAATCAGAAAAGAAAAATAATAAGCAATAGTAAACTTACACATATATTATGTGATTAACATTATACAATCTTATTTATTGCAACAACTTAAACTGTTATGACACTTTGAATTTCACAAGAGTCCCNAATAATACAAGTAATAAACATCAACACAAAGTAATATTTTAATTGTATAGTTAATAATAGTATAATAATATGTGTATATTAAGAAGTCATAAATTTCGTTTTATGCAAAACTATGATAAAATCTAAAGTTTCTCTATTTAAAAACAACTACAAAATGCATTTTGGACAAATTAATGTAATTCATACTCCTTTAAATGCTATAGAAATATAATTTCAAATGTATTATTTTTGTATACATAACTTCACAAGTTGTAATGAATGATTTTTTAATATTCAAGTTTTTTTTTCTTGCAAAATCTAAATTATTTTAAGTTTAAACTTTTCCTAAAATGCTATTTTCTATTAATCCTGTTTAAAAAATTATTTTAAAGTCTTTTTAAAAAAAGACAAAATAATTTTTATATTGCTTATTTAAGCTGAAATTTGTAACATATGACACATCAATTAGTTAGTGTACAATATGTAACTATAAGTATTGTACACAATATGTTGTACAACATTTTAACCTATAAAAATGTGAAGTTAGACAACATTTCACAGTAACATTTCCATTACTATATTGCTTTTTGAATTAACATAGTAAATCTGTAGAAGTAGTTATTTTATCAGGTGTTCTGTAAGAGAAGATATAGATTATTTATTATAGAATTGCATTCATCATGTGTTAGCTTTTGAAACTAATTTATAAAAAGAATAATACAACTTTTTGTTTAGTTTAGTTTAGTGTTTTGTTAAAGATGTTTGCTTTAAAAATGCTATCTTAAGAAGAATACTATTGTTATTATTTTGTTCAACATCCAAGGTGCAGCTAAAAAGAGATGAGAATTATTTTTTTATATTATTTATTCTTTTAGATATAAAGATTTCAATGACTATTTTTTTTCAAAAATGCTCTATTTGAGTTTATGCAATACATTATTCACAATTTCCGTGAAATAAAATAATGGTGGAAGTCTTCAGGAGATATCATTTTTAATTGCCCTCTTATATTTTTCTGAATGCTTGCTGCTACTTCAAATCATTTTTGTTTGAGACGGGTTTTACTTTTGTAAAACAAAGCTATATGGCACCAGATCTAGCAAATAAAATGTATGCTTCAATATCATAATCTTGTTTTTTTTTAGTAAAAATTTTCTCACTACTCAGGTGGAATGACACTTCATTGTAATGATGCAGAAATCATATATCTGGTCTCCACAATTTGGGTTATCTTTTTAATTTTTTTTTAATGAAGTCTTCATAAATCTCAATATAAAGTATCTGGATATTTGGTATAACAAATTAATGATGGACATCATGACAATCAAAGGAAACAACAAGTGTGGCTTTGGTCTTTGAGACATTCTTATTATTATTATTTTTTTTAATTGGGTTATGAGAGAAGTTTTATATCACATATTCTGTTTCTTTATTTCCAGCTCATACTGAATAATCCAGAATGCATTTCCTGTTCAAATACATCTTTTTCATGCCCAATTATTGACAAAATTGTTCTTATTGTTTATCATTATGCTTGTGCTAAGTGATTAGTTAAATACTGATACTACAATCTTGATATATAATCATGTAGATTTTTTCACCATTTTTTTCTATCATTGAAATTAACGGTATTTCTATTTTCTTGTCATTGCAAACATCATCATGCTTCTCTCTGAACTATTTGTGTTGTTGGTACACATATACTGGCTCGTGATTTCCTCTTCTTACACTTTTTGTAACTTCTGATGTTTTGTTGCATCATTATTATTGAGTTTCATAAGAAAATTAATTACAAATCTTACTCATCTTTCACTAAAGCAGTGATTCTCAACCTTTTTTCTGTCACGGTACACTTTTAATAATTAAAAAAATTTGGTGGCACACACAGTTACTTCGGTAAGTACCACAGGACAACCTGTGACGTCATAACAGTGATTTTTAAAAACACAGTTGGTTATTTAGGTCACGTTTTCTAAACGCATTGGTAACTACCAGCAGTTACCGATAACACTGGTTACCATCCCTGTAAACCATAAGACTGGTTACCATATCCAAATGCGCCCTAGGAAGGTAGAAGTGATTGAACCACCTGTCTGACGTTGCTTATGTATGGGTATTCACAGTGGCGGAACACCTCAAAAATCTCGCGGCACACTAAAGTGCCATGAGATTTTTGAGGTGTGCCAAAAAGTGGTTGAGAATCACTGCACTAAAGCATCATTCTTTCAAGATACATAGCTCAGTTAAAACAGAAAGGATTGCAACAAAGCGAAAAAGGAATCTGTAGCAGAAGTAAGATGTAAACAAGTGCAGCATGATATGAATATTGTTCTTGTTTCTTTTTAGCCACACTTTATATGTTATAATGTAAATTTGCAATATAATATATATATATTNACAACAGTATTAAAATATATTCTGGATTTGTATTTATTTATTTTTTTGTTTTTTCCAAAAACCAAGAAAGCACTTTTATATATATATATATATTTATATTTATATTTATTTATATTATAAGAATTAATATGAAATTGATTTTCATATTTACTTTTTTCATAGAGTGATGTATATGCTGTGATGCATATTGGTGCACCATGTTGCGGTATGAATGCAGCTGTTAGATCTTTTGTTAGAAATTGCATGTTTACTGGTGATACTGTTTTAGGCATTCAAGAAGGTATTGAAGGCTTAATTGAAGGAAATGTAAGTAATTATTTTGTATATTGTATATAATTACATTATAACTTTTTTATAAAAACAAACTTAATGAAAATAGGTTTAAAATAAGATTGCTTTTATGTTGAATTGGAAAGTCTTGATATATTATTATCTTCTATTTTCATTAAATTGTGTTATTATTTCAGGTAAGACATTTACAGTGGGGAGATGTAAATGGATGGGTTGGACAGGGTGGAGCATTTCTTGGTACAAAAAGGTAATTGTTTTATTTTATATTAACTGTTTACAATTTTTTTTATTGTATGTGAATTATAATATATTCAAAATTGATTTAATGCTATAAACTATATTATTTAAAAATTATTTATTATATTCTCTTCTACTAATATTAAGAATTTTGTTAAATTAGGAATTATTTGTTTAAATTCTGAAACACTTATACTTGAGAAATATTAATTTTCATTATAAAATAACAATTATTGTAATAGTTTATGATTATAACTCTTCAATATAAAATGTTCTAAAATAGTTTTACATTATCTGAATGACATTGTTACTGTTATATAAATGACATCAAAATTACTTGATTTAATTTTAGTTTATATTAATTTTGATTTCAAATAAGTTTTTTTTTTAAGTTATATGCAATATACATAACAATGGTTCACAGATTTAAAAAGATTTACCACCCCTGTATATAATTAACATAATTTCTAGTTTACAAATGAATAATTTTTTTAATCATTCTTGTATCTTTAATCATGAAACTATAATTTTAAATTATTTAGAACTCTTCCTCTACCTCATATGGACAAGGTTGTAGAAAAAATTAGAGAATATAAAATTCGTGGCTTACTGGTAATTGGTGGATTTGAGGTAAGACAATGTTATAGAAATATGACAGTATTCTATTAGAAATATTTTCATATTTTTTTTATAAAATAGACAAATTTATTTTTATTTAATAAATCAACATATTTATGAAATAAAAATTGTTTTTGTCAGCCTTTCTTTTAGAAGTCAAAATACAACATATTTCATTATATTTCTTTGGAATAAATAGCTTTTGATAAATGAATCTGAATTTATTGAAATTATGATTTCCAGTAATTACAAATAGTGATGGGAATCAACCAGTTTGGCAGAATTGCTCCAAAAATATTTTTAGTTTGATGAACTGTTTATTAAAATTGTAGTTGTAATATTTATTTTGGTAATTTATCACAAAAGTCTTTGTTTGTGTAAGACTCCCAATTTTCTAACAACCCAATGCAGAGTAGAGCAGAATGAAGAAGAAAGAGTATGCATCAGAGCAATGTTTGCAGGTGAGAACTTGTCAATGCTGCTATTGCAATTGATCTGCGATCACCTATCACAATTAATTAAGCATGTAATGTTTTCTGCTCAACTTATAGGTACAAGTGATAACCTCTAGGCATAAACATTTGTGTTTCTGGATCCAATATATGCAAGACAATAAATATATTCCTTGGACAATTAGATTTTCTGAAACTTCTTGATTTTGGATTTTCTAGAAATTACCAGGATTTAGGAAGCTCTATAGTTGTATTTTTAAAAGTATCTGTAAACTAAAAGATATATTATAATTATAAATTCTGCAGAAGTAGATAGGTTTTTTTTTAAAAGATGAGCATAATAAGCTCAGGTAAGAGAAATCTGTTTCAAATAGACCTGTTTTAAATTTTATATCTGTTAGCCTATCAGTCAATCTCTAAAAAAATGGGATCCAACTCCTGTTGTGAGAAAGTGAGTAAGGATTAATCACACAGTTAGTGATCTTGGATAAAAGCAAAGCAACCCACAAAAGAAATTGCTTTTTGTCAGGGATATTTAAAGTTTTCTATATTTTAGTATTTTTATGAGCCTTTTTGTTATGTTAGGAAACATTTTTAATCATTTGTTGGATAAGATTAATTTGTTCTCATTTGGATATTCATAGCTGTTGGACACAATGAGGTCTAGCCATTTTCAATATTTGTTTTAGGATGTAATATTGTAGTGCAAAGCTAGGAAATCTGCATAAAGCAAAAAATTTTTTAAATATAGTTAATTTGGGACTTTAAAGAAATTAATTCTAATATTGATACATTGAAAGAAATTAATTATAATAATTTAATTAGAACAATCATTTGGTATTAGCATTAAAAACTGCATTCAGATATATTTATTTTACCTATACAAAAAGAAGGCAGACAAAACTATCTTTATATACTGATTTAATTGAATACAATATCAACATAAGATGTTAAATATAAAATTTTTAATGTTTTGTTTCAGAGCAAAGAAAATTTGATTTGTATTATAAAATTATAACAAGAATAATTTAGTAAAAAAGGACACTTTGATAGATATTAATTCTACATTAAAATTCGCTTTAATGTATTTTATTTTTTATTTTTTGTTTATAATGTAATTTGTTTCATTTTTTTTCCTCTTCATTATTGTATAGGTAGATACCAAAAGTAAACTTAGCTCCTACAGGAATATTATGTTTTTGACAAATTCAAGATGCTATTAATTATGATTCATTTTAAGGCAAGCCTAAGAAAATTATTTAGTTGCATGCAGAATTTTTGAAGAAAGAAAAACTTTTATGAGCATATTTCAAAGCCTCTTGTCTCCCTACTTATACTAAATATTCAGATTTGTTTTGTTTTGACAGTTTGATCCCTGTATATTTTTACATCCCATAAAAATTTTTGTGCATGTTAAAATAACAAACTGGCTGGCTAAATTGCAATTTATTTCTTATTTTCCATTTTGGATTTATGAATATTTTATTTCAAAAAGCATTTACTGATATGATATGATCTTACCAGTATATGTTTTAATGTTAATTCTTTATATTGTTTTTGGATATATTTAACTTATTATTAATTTATGTAGCATTCATCCAAAATGGCATCATTGGTATATTGCTAAATTAAAAAGTAGTCCAGCAATGAGTTGCTCTATTTTTTGAAATGATTAAGATTTTGTCTTCATCATTTCAAAAGAGCTTAAAACTCATACAAGTAAAATTTTCATCAAGTCTGACCTTCACTTGAGATATGACACAAGACCCTTTTCATCCTGTTGCATTCCATACTTCAAAATTTAATAACATCAATATCCCTTATATACAAGTTATCATGGCAAATTTGGTTTCTTAATCTATACTCCATCCTGATGAGATGTTAAATGAAATAGATGCCAACACACACATACTGAATTCTTGTACTGTTTTGGGCTCATCAGTTTTTTGCGAATCTCAAAACATTGAGATTCGCAAAAAACTGAGGACCAAATTTCACACGATTCTAATAGTTTCCCATATTATATACACAATAGCTGAGAAAGTAATAAATATTATGTGCTTTATGATAGATATATTTATACTTTTCTGGCTGTTATGGATGTAACATGGAAAGTATAGTTATCATGTCAAATTTGACTCTGGGTTTTTTGCAAATCTCGATATTTTGAGACCCTCTGAATCCAAAATGTCAAAAACTTCCCAGGAATGTGTGTTGGCATCTATTTCATTTATTAAATTAACATAATTAATTTAACATTGTTTATTGTTGGAGTGAAATTTCATTATATAACAGTATGTCTAAACATATTCAATACTAAATTATTACAAGTAATAATTTTTGCAAAATGAGACAGATAATTCCATTAATGAAATAAATACTTACAGGCATTTTATTCAGTTCTGCAGATGGCTGAAAATAGAGAAAAATATCCAGAATTACGCATACCTTTAATTGTTATTCCTGCAACTATTAGCAATAATGTTCCTGGCACAGAATTTTCATTGGGAGCTGATACTGCTCTTAATGAAATTACTGAAGTAAGATATAATTTAAAATTATCCACTCAAAAATAATCATTTTTAAGTAAAAATATTTGTATGTATGTATATATATATGTATGTATGTGTGTGTATGTATATTAATATAACTTTGAATAATCATTTACATAAACAATAGTCTTTTAAAATTATCATGAGTCTGCCTTGAAAAATTTGACTNTATACAGATATTTTTACATATATATATATGTAAAATATATATATATATATTTCTTAGATTTGTGATCGAATACGTCAATCTGCACAAGGCACTAAAAGTAGAGTTTTTGTTGTTGAAACTATGGGTGGCTATTCCGGATATTTAGCAACTCTTGCAGGATTAGCTGGTGGAGCGGATGCTGCATATATTTTTGAAGAACAATTTTCTATACAAGATTTAATGGGAGATGTTTTCCATATGAAAGCTAAGATGAAAGAAGGTGTGAAAAGAGGCCTAATTTTAAGGTATATCTTTTATTTTATTAAAAGCTAGATAGTTGTAAAAAATTACTGGAATAACATTTTTATTTCAAATTATTATTTTAATTTTTATAAGACTGTCATTTGTTTATACTGAATAATTATATATTTAAAAGTTTAATGTAAAAAATTCTAAATATATTAAATTATTACAAAACTAAACAGTTAAAAATTTTTATTGTAATAATGAACATGATAAGTTTACTAAAATGTACAAATTGGCATATTACAAGTTTTTGCAGAAAGTTTTGCAAATGAATACTTTTACACAAGTGTTCACGTTATTTTGTTCAACCCCTTTATGTTAATAATAAATCATATTTTACAGTATAAAATTTATATTGTCATTTATATTGTAGAATAGAAATTTGAATAATATTTTGTAATCAATTTTAAAAATACTGATATTTTTTTTACCTTTATTATTTTTCACAGAAATGAATGTGCTAATGAACATTACTCTACTGAATTTATTTATCGTCTATATTCAGAAGAAGGAAAAGACACTTTCTCTTCTAGAATGAATGTTCTTGGACATATGCAACAGGTTCAAGTTATACTTTATTTTAAACATTATATTCTCTCAATTCTGATGCACTTTTTACCCACTTTTGTTTGTCCAAAATAGAGATACTTCTTAAAATTGATGAAATCTTACATTTGAAGTCAATGATAGGTGAAGATTTTTAGCTACCTGCTTTATGATTATCTCAGTTGAAATGAATTATGTTGGAATAAGCATCTAATTTAAATCCCTAACATTTAAAATCCCTTCAAGTTGATATGATGCAACATTAAAACAAATAGTTATTGTATATGCAGAAGAGCTTGGAAACAGATTTGCCAAACACATTATCCTTTTCATTGCATTTGTATTGGTTTTTTTTTTTACTTGTCACTTAAACTTAATAAAATTGGGTATATGAAAACTTTTCTCTATATGAAAAAAACCTTAAAATTCAATTTCAAATTTATGAAACATTATAGACTCAAGAAAAGATGATAAACTTATACATAAAAAATTTTTTGTCTTCATTTTAACATGTCTAAGGCATATTGTCTAACCTTGAATTATTCTGTCATTAAAAATTTAATAGAAGAATTGATAAATTTTGAAATATTTTAAAACATATATGCATGAATTAAATAAAACTTTACATAAAAATATACAAGCAAACTAAACCTATTCAGTTTGTTTAAAAATATATAAATTGCTATTGCAAAACATATATGAACAGTATTTATGTTTAAGAATTAAAGTTGATTAATATATAATAATTTCAAACTGATATGTAGGTGTTACAGTAAAGGTAAATCAATTAAGTTTATTTATACAATAAAAATAATTGATCAATACTGTTAGAACTAATGTTCTCTTTTCATAAAGTATAATTTAGTTTTCGAAAAATTTTAATTTACATCTGTGCAGTTATATAAATCATCTTACATATTCCTTTGAGCTTAGATCCAGAAGTTAGCTACTTGTTTTATTCATTATGTATGTTCATTTTAAAAATATTCTTCTACATTTACTGTAGGTGATTTTACATTATCATCCACAAAATAGTGTCATAAGTGATTACAGTCTTAAAATGATATATTTAGAGTTGTATTATTTCATGAATATGCTGCTAAATAATCAAAAATCTAGTTTTAAAGACGTACAGGAAAAAGCATCCATTGAAAATAATATTTTCTCGCACCATTAAACATTACAAAAAAGGACTACTGTACTTTAGAAAGACAATAAATAATTTTCTCCATATTTTAATCTGGAGAAAATCACAAATGCTGATATTCATTCTGAAGATTGAAACTATGTTTTAGAGAAGATACCTTTAATTTATTTTAATTTTAAATCCATTTCACAATATAAGTAATTTCAATTTTAATTCTAAAAAGATGTGTGTAATCTTATATATTAAATTTAAAATTAGAAATTGAAAACATATATGAAAACATAAATTGATGCAATAATGATCTGTTTAACTAATTTATCTGATAGTTTTGACAGATCTGATGCCTTTAATGTGTTAAAAATTTTTTAAGTATTCCTAGATACATCTGGATTCTCTAATAATATATTATGTATTTAATAATTAAGAACTGATAAGAAAAGATAAAAATTTACAAAAGAAATAATTTTCTTGCATTAAAATCAAAGAAATGAAAAGAAAGAAATATAATGAGTTTCTGAAAATAAGAATTAATAAATGATAATTTGTAATAAGATCAAATCTAATAATTTTTATAAATTAGTTTTTAGAAACTTTATGGATTGGCATGATATTTTACATAATCCATTAATAGGATATTTACAGTCTAGACAAATCAGCATAAACTTTATTTATTTTTATATTAATCTTTTTCAAATAATTGAAAGCTATTGCTGTAAATGATAAATTATTTAACAACAATAATTATTTCTTACCAAAAATGAAACTTTTTATAAACATGACATTAAGTAGGGAATGGAAAAATTAGTTTTATTGGAAATTTCTTTATTAAACAATTCAATATTTTATATTTCAAACAGTACTACAATTATTATATTTTATTTAGGAAAGTATAAAATTTGATGATGATAAGTTTAATTTTAAATAATTTTATTGTTTATTTTAACAAATTGAAAACTATATAGGGTGGAAGTCCATCTCCCTTTGACAGAAATTTTGGAACAAAAATGTCAGCAAAAGCAGCAACATGGCTAGTTCAACAAGTAAAAAAGTATCGACAACCAGATGGAAGTGTTATCTGTAATAGTCCAGATACGGCTGTCTTACTAGGACTTATTAGAAGAAATTATGTTTTCACTCCAGTCCAAATACTTAAAAATGAAAGTGATTTCAAGTAAGTTGTTTTTATTAATGAATGAATTATATTGTAGTTTATTTGCAATTTGTATTATATTAAAATATTTTAAATCTTTTAAGTAAACATGTTAAACATCAAAAATGTAAAAAATGATGTAAGACAAAGGTTGTCTGTCAGAAGATGTAATATACAGTTTGTAGGTAGAAAGATAACGGAAATTTTTTTATTTGTTTGATAATATATTAAATAATTTATCAAATTAAGTTTATAGGCTGATGCTCTTCATTATTAATCTGTTGCACAACACATTAATTATCAAAATTTTAATTGAAAATTGCTAAAGATATTTTTATTGAAGATTTGATTAGAAAAATTTTTGAAAAAATTGAATATATAAATATATTTAGATATGTAGTCATATAAATTTAATTAAGGAATTAGAAAAAACAAACTCCAATAATTCCTCATAGAAACCATACCAAGCAATTAGTGCATAATCCACATATCATAAGTATAAAATTGAAAAGTGCTTTGTAAAAGAGGTTCTAAATACCTTAACACAGGGGTGGCCAATAGTTTTTGCCCCCGGGCCGAATTGGAAAGAAAACGTTTTTCGTGGGTCGAACCAGAGGCTGCCCTAGGAAGATTTTGAGGAGGTGTGAGATCTCATAGTGGTGTCACCCTGTAGAGGCTAAACTGTAGATAGAGATTACAGATACATTTTTCACATTATCATGCATTATCAACATTCTACGCTGTACTTCAGAGATTTGTAATAGAGCGTTAACTTTAAATGCGCAGTGAGTTGTTGACCTTTTTTTTTCTTATAGGCATCAGAATTTTTCATCGAGCTATTCAGACTTGAGTAGCTGATGTTGAAAGATTAATCGCAGGCCACATAAATTCATTAGATGGGCTGGATCCGCGGGCCGTATATTGGCCATGCCTGCCTTAACTTCTGTACTTCACATGATTAACTCTGCAATTGCAGAAAGTAGTAGTTTATAATTGGACATTGTTATGGAGAATAGCAGCATCATCACTACAAAGATTTGATATATAGTTTTATAGATTTGGAACACAACTCCTTAGACTTTTACATAGATAGATCAATATGTAGTTTGTTACAGTTGTGCTGCTACTGTGACACGAGTGCAAGAGTCCATTATCATATTTATCAATAGCATTTAAAGTTTCAAGGAGTTCAAGATTTATTTGCATATTTATAATTCTTCAGAGTATAGATTAAATAAACAAAAATAGTACAAATATTATCAACAGATATTTTACCAAATACAATATTTATAAACATTTCTTTAAATGTTTATTCCTATTACTAAGATTTAAATTTATGTTATGATTTATTATTGTATCCAACTGAAACAATAGTATTTAAAGAATGTTATTGATTTCAATTTAATAAAAATATTATGTAAAATCTATATTATATTAGATGGTTGAATAATCAAATTATAAACTTTAATTATTATTGCTAGATGTCAAAGATAGAAAAAGACAAATATCAGATGTTAAAGTTTCAATTATCAGTTTTTAAAAATTCAGTTTAAAATACTATTAGCTGTCTAACACAAAACTTATCATATTTCAGTGATTCTGGTAACTTAAATAAATGCAATATTGAAAATACATGGCTGCTATGCTATATATCTTTGTGATATTTAATATTATTTTAATAATTGATTATCTTTGAATTTTAAATGAGGTCATAAAAATCTAAAATCATTCAAAATACAGGAAGTATTCTATATTATAGATGCAAATCATAATAACCATTCTACTTTTAATATATGGTGATAATGTTAAATAATCTTGTTTTTTTCCATCAAGGACGTTTAATAATGAATGATTTACATCTACTTTAAATATTTTTCTGTATTTTGAATATTCTTAATTTTTATATATTATAAAATTTGCAATTACCGTACTTGATTACAGTTCCTAATATTAACTAACAAATTTGAAAATAATTAATTTAAAAAACTATATCATTCTATTTATTGAGTTGTTTAAAAAACTTTTATTGTCAGATAAAAGTTTTACGTCTTGTTTTGCATTGATTTGATTTTAACAAGGAATAATTTTAGTAATTTAAGTTAATTGCATTATTATAATAAAAACTAAATATTTTATATACTTAGAACCAAATGCTTTCATTCTATCAGATCTCGTATAATTGTTTTTTAAACATTTGATTATGATAAAAAATATTTATGACAAGATTAATTAAAGAAAAAAATTTTAATAATAGCTATTAATTGAAACTAATAAATGTGATTAATAATAATTATTTATTTATTTATTTCAGACATAGAATTCCCAATCACGTCTGGTGGCTTAAGTTGAGACCATTGTTACGTATTCTTGCCAAACATGAATCGACTTATGAAAAAGAAGCAAGTGTTTTTTCTAGTGATGCCGAAATGGATTAAAATTCTTTTAAAATTGTTATCAGAATTATTTATTTATTTATTTGTCCTGCTATTATAACTCTTCTATTGCATTTATTCTGCATGTTTTTGAGAAATTTTGTAATCCTTTTAAATTTTAAATAGTAAGAGAAAAAATATTCCAATAGTACAATAAGCTTAGATTGATTTTTTTTTAATCTGCATAAAAATTATAATATGAAGTTATGTAGTTAGGGAACAATTTTTTTTCTTTATTTTCTTATTTTTTTCACAAGTTTTGTTTATGAATGATATATCGTGTTAAATATGCTCTATAGATTATATATTTTGAAAAATATATTTTGAGAAGTTATATTATTCTATAGAAAATAAATATTTGAAATATATTAAAATTTATATGTTTAATAAAATACATATTTATAACTTATAACTTATATTTTTGTTTGATATTAATGCATTATTCTTGCTTGGATGTGTTTATATGGAAATTGATGGTATTTAGAGTCAGTATTACATGTGATAAAGTTAATATTAGACCAAATATGAAGTTTGTTTTGTTAAACAAAAGCCAAAGCTGTTTATTTAATTGCCTTGTTAATTCTAATCTGTGATAATTGTTATGTTATACCAGAAAATGTTTTTAACATTAACTAATTTAGATTGCAATATTCTTTATTGTTATATATCTGTAATTAGGTAATACTAAAATTGTTAACTTGAAAATTTAATAAAGCATTGTATAACATTTGAAAAAATTATATTGATAATTAATTAGTTTTTTATTATTTAACAGAATAAATACAAGAATAATATAAAACATGAAAATTTTAGAAGCTGCTAATCAATAGAAAAGTTAATTTTTATAAATTTACATAAATTTTTTCAAGCATTTTTTTTTCTAAAGAAAGTTTTTACCTTAATATTTCTAATGAAAAATGCTTAAATATATTAATTTTAATGACATAAATTAGACCAAAAAGTGAACTATGGTTGTTTTAAATGTTATAAATTTATGAATCTGATGTAAATTATCAGTTTCTATATAGAGATTTATAAATCTATGTTTTTATGTTACAAATTTAATGATTTCTTTTATTGCATGTCATGTGCAACAATGTTATATATATACTTATGTATTTGTCAAATTTAAATGTTATGATTTAAAAACAAATTTGTGATCGTGGGACGGAAATTGACAAATATACAACATATAAAATTATCTACACGAAATAAACCACCGGAAACTTATTTTACATGTTTTAACAATGCTATAAAATCTTTCGGCAATTCGGTAATTTTTAATTTCTTTATAAAATTCTTGTTAATTCCATTTATTTTATAAAAATAAGATGATTTTCATTTTCTTTCTTTGCAAAAGTTAATTTTTCCCAAAATGTTCTATCATATTTAAATATATTTCTTGTTGAATGATATTTTAGCACAATTCATTATGTTTATATTCTAAAAATAGTTATAATAGTGGAGCAGATGAATTATATCTGTTCGAATAATGGAGATTTCACATATTTTAAACTCTTCCATTTAAAATAAGCTGCAGGTCTTGGAATCTTCAACATTTTCAATAGAATAATCATTCTTTGGAAATAATTGTTCAACAATTATCGTATGAAAAATACTGTACCGATTGGAGAAATTTCATGTGTTATTTCATGTCTTTAACAATACATTATTTTTTGTCCTATTGTTTGCGGATAAAGAGTGTTCGTCAGAGACACCGCTTGCCACTGTAGTACCAGAAGTTTTACAGTTCTCTTCGTCACTTCCATCACCACAATCATCTACACCATCACAATAATTCACCGTGTTAATGCACCGTCCGTTGTCGCACTGATGTTGTCTGATAGTGCAACTGGCATCACACCCTTCCGGCTCATCACTTTTATCGACACAATCGACGAAGCGATCACAGAAGTACTTATTTGGTATACACTGGCCATCATTACATGTATATTGACCATCTGGACAAGCTGAAATAAAAATGAGTGTATAAGTAAGTATTTTAATTAATATTTACATGTTTAGGAACAAGTTTATGTTTACATTTAATGTATTAACTTAAATAATATTCTAATAATATTGATATCCTTAGTTACACTACATCAACAATTAATATTTTTTTGAATAATTAAAATAAATTCTATATTAAAATTTATTGGATATTAATACATTAATATTGTCATCATTAAAATTAATTCCTGTTGATGTTATTAGTCATTATTATTTTCAATTAAATAATATACTTTTTTAAAATTGTATAAGATTGTTATTAGTAGTTAAAGTAAATAATGATATTACATTTTAATAATAAAAATATGATGAATAATAGAAAATATTTTGAAAATTATTCATGAAAGCATAAAAATACATTTTATAAAATTAGATTTGAAGCAACATAAAGTTCCAATTTTAAGATCATTTATCATAACTGAATAAAATATTTAGCAAAGATTTTTCACAGATAAGAATATTTAGTTATGTTCTTGAAATTTTTATTTAAATCTGTATAATAAATTAAAAAGCATATTATTGATAGAATAATGTTCTCAAAATATGTGGCCTTTTCACATCAAATCATCTCAGATATCAGGTATACAAGTTTAATATTGCTTTGGATTCTATATTAAAAAATCTATTCATTCAAAATAATTAGATGATGTCTTCTACATTCTAATTTTAAAATTGTATATTGAAGTAAAATAATGTGCCTTTACAAATTTACCCACAAGAATACATACATTTTCTTGAAATTCTGTAAAAACTAATCTGTAAATGCACACTTCTAAACTTTTACTTTCAAAATTGTAAACAGTATAATTAAATGTCTGTTTCAATACTTTCAAAAAGAAATTTTTGCCAGGAAAAAGTCCTTCATTAAAGCTTTCAACTTAACTAGAAATTATTTATTACTTGAGACATGCATAAAGAAAACAAATACAGTATAGATTTTAATGAGGAATGAATTAAAAATACTAACATTTAAATATTTTATAATGATAACTTAATTAGAAATGATATCGATAACGAAAGAAAAACAAGAAATTTCTCTGGATTAAAATGTAACAGAAGTTTTATAACTTACACACAGTACAGTTGATTTCATCACTACCATCCCAACAATCAATATAACCATTGCAACGCATGGATACAGGAAGGCAAGAGGTCTTGTTACCACAATGGAATTGATCTGCTCCACATTCTACAAGAATAATGCATAATTAATAATTGAAAACTTCAGTAATTTATTTGAAATAATATACTAACCGCAATCGTATTCATCTGTCATGTCATAACAATTGAAATGTCCATCACATCTCCTCTTGCTGGGAACACACAAACCATTGGCACACTTCCATTCACCTTCTAAACATTCTGAAAATTTTGATAATTTCTCGTATAATTATGAATTTAAATCGTACATTTAAATAAAACATGCATTTTCATTTATTAAAAAAATTTTTTTAGAAACGTATCTTAAGATTTTCACCTTGAATGCCTGCCTTCAGGTGACTTCTTGTCGATTCAGTTCCTAATTTAGAGAATTTAGTCTCGTTGAAGTATTAAGCTCGGCAGAATTTTAGACATTTTTATTTAATTTTAATTCTATTCCTATTCATTTATCAGCGGTAGATTTCATTTATTACAAAGGCACATATTTAAGGGCATTTTGAGGGGAGATAAAATTCTAACAGCTGGAAATAAATCTAAAATGTTTAAGTTCAAAAGAGTTACCTGAGTCGTCAATACACTGAAACACTGTTTTGTTTAGCTGACGACACAATTCATGAATGCCAGAACACCAACCGCCACAACCACGTGGATCCGTAGGATCTTTGGTTTTAACACAATAAGCTTCGGATGCTCCAATAGCTAGAAGGCAAACTTCGCCATCAGGACACACGCTGCACGGTTGACCTTCCGAATTAATAAAATATTTTAAATGGTGATGACATGACATTTATTCATTTTAATCGAGCGTACATAATCTTAACACTCACGAATTTGTAGCAATGGCTTTGTTGTTGGTTGGCTTTGTCGTTCGGTTGTTGTTGTTGTTGTTGTAATGACTGTGGTCGAATCGGCAATTTCGCAAAAACATTCTTTAATTTCTAATTTTCGACTTTTGCCGGATTCTTGGCAAGGAATGTTATTCATTAAACGAGTCCCTCTACCATTCATAGTTCTACATTCGCGAGACCTACTCTGAACATTCTTTGGATCACATCTTCCTTGTAAATCCATACAAGACGACCATTCACTCCATTGGGACCACGCAGCTATAAATATATTATACAGGTAACTACTTTGACGATGTATAAACGGGGGTGAATTCCGTATCACTTACCATCGGAAATAGGAGTTGGCGGAGTTACAGTTGGAATTACACCTCTTATTCCTATAAAGAAAAGTAGCTTTTTAAAAAAAAAAACAATTGTAAATATTTAAATTCAAAATATAAGAAAGTTTATAACTTACCAACAAATTGTATAGTTTGTATATCTACATTTAAAGTTCCGGCAGGAAGCGTGCCATGGCCCATTTCCAAATTTCGTACAAAAATTAAACCTATTTTCTGAGCAATGTTATCGATGGGTCTATTCAGAAATATATGGCAATCGACGACGACACTTCCTTCACTGAAAACAATAGGTTTTATCAGTTTAAAACAAAAAAATAATAATAAATATATCGATTTACAAAAATTCCATTACCTAAATCTTACGATTTCGCTAGTATTGTAATCTCTGACTAAAGGACTTTGCAGGAACATGTCATCCAACTGAAATAATACAAATTATGTATTATTATATTTAAAAAAAAAAAAGCTGTAAACTTCTTATCTGCAGCTGTAATTCATAAAAAACACGCAAGCCAAAATGCGGATGTAAAATTGTTGCACAATTACAAATTTAAAAAAAAAAAGTATTTGCTGTCTTATTGAATATTCTTTATTGTTATTCGGCTTTGAATATTTTCGCGTGTTCCGGTTGACTTAGCTGTTAGAAAAGATTGAGTGATACTCCGCATAATGTCATTTTCTTTTATCCCTCTTCACAAAAGAAAAAAAAAAATTTGATGTGTTTAGTCGCATACACCATGTTATTTTTTTGTCAAATGCTTTCGCATAAATATTTCCGACAGGAAATGATTTATAAAAAAAAAATTTACGAAGAATTATCCTGTTTGTCAACATTCCTATCGATCGGAAAATATATATATATATAAAACGAACAGTTGTTTTTTTTTAAGATTGCCAGTTTACTATTTGTAGAAACTGTAAAATGGGAATTTACCATAAATGTTTCTCACGTTTAATTCCTCTACATTGGTCATTATCCATTCTTCAAAAATTAAATACAGCATTCTTCTATGTCTGCCTATTAAATCGCCATTAATAATAGAGAGGTTGCGGCCGAAGTTTTCATCTGTAAAACGTGAACGTCGAGCGTCGAGCGCCTCTTACAAGATAGCGGCGCTCGACGTTCGACGTTCACGTTTTANAGCACGTTACTTACTTTTTTTTTACCCCCACGTGAAATTCAACAGGTGATTTAATTTCTTGTAACACCGGAAAGTATCGCCTTTTTGCACATAACGACGGCTATAAAAAAATACCCAAGGGTGTTGTTTAACAAGTCTCGAAACCTGTCGTGTAATGCGAATTTAATATTTTATTTAGGTCTGAAGGCTTAATACTAAACTTTTTATTTATTTTTTCGTGTAACATTTAAGAAGCAGTGCATGAAACAACGATTTTACGTATTGAATTCGTCATGGAAATATACATTGATTTCCATTTTCTTTCACCACCTGGCAACGTCACAGGAAATCGAGAGGGGATATTTAGGACAGATGGCAACGCGATGCCACCTGGCAAGCGGATGTTATCGATAATTTACCGGAAAGGTTCCTATAAACACATTGGTTAAAACTAGTAAGAACCTTTACCGATCTAAAAAAAAAAATTTTTTTTGGTCAGACACACAGTACAACTCACCGACTGTAAAATTTCTGCCACTAAACGTATGTATTGTGGACTTGTGGGATTGGCTAAATCCGGCGTGTACACCCTGTTCGTTATTCTAAAGTTTCCTGCAACGGCCCAGTTTTCTGAAAATAAAGAATTATAAACGATTATTTATTAAAATAATTAAATATATAAATCATTTATTTATAAATAAACGCGCCGATACGACCTATATTTATATAATGGGGTGATTATACGGTTTAGAGACGTTACGTTCGTTTCCAGATGGTGATACAACAGTTACTCAACTATTAATACAAAGTAGAACACACGAACTTATATTCATTATAATAACTTGTGTATGTGATATTGTTCTTATTGAAAGCTTGCCTTTGTAACAGTCTTGGTACAATTGCGAAGATACGTATATATGCTTGTAACGAAAGTGATTAGAAAACAGATGGCAATTCATATTTTACAGTGTGCAAGGTGTTTTTATGCTTATTGTCTACCGTCTTCAGACACAAATAAAACCAGCTCCAGAATCGGCTATTGCAAACTAAACAAACGAGCTGACGGTGTCTTATCTCTCGGCAAGGCTGGTCACGAATCCACCCAACTAATGTATGTAAGGACACGGACCCGGGTTCTCACTCTGGCTCGATGGGTCAACTACCTTTGAACTGGCTTCTCACGTGTCACGACATTGTTCCGTTTTGGCAGACTAATAGTTGGTAGATAAAGTGGTGTCGTCTGATACGAATGCGGGTAGAAAACTTTTATCTTCCTTTCGAATTTGCGGAGGCAACATTCTTCTTTTTATCTTTACTTTTCGACTATTGTTCTAACTGTAATGACGCCAATGGCAGAGGGGCGGTGCTTTAGAGGATGTGCGTGGCTAATTTTCGGTGATTGTGTTGTTAAGAGCTCTTCTAAGCGTCATTTTTACCAGTTTCGGACAATCGGTCGGCATTCTTTTATTGTTTGCAAGAGCTTTAAAAATTAAAACACCCACCGTTTTCTCTAAATGGAATGCTATATTATCTCGTTATATATATATATATATATATATATCGGCATAAATAACAGAAAAACGTTTATAGAAAAGACTATATTTGCAAGAAAAGGACAATTAAATTAAGGGTAATAACGAACGATGTTCACATAGATCCGCACTATAATTTCAATATCACCACGTAAAAGACTGCAAATTTAGAAATCGTCCGGGTGAAGAATAGAAAATTAGACAATTTTCTAATTTAATTTAGCAGGTTTAATAGAGGATTTCGAGTAAAAAGGATATTGCTAAATCCCATTTAGAGTTTAGATAATTCCCGCTTTGCTGCACGGATTAAGAGACATTGATCGAAAAGAATCTTTGTAAACGTAGCACCTAGAAATAATGGATTGTATCAGCGGATGCCATTGTAAACAAATTCAATTTAATTAGAAATATAAAACCCAAACAGGAGTTTGTAATTAATGAGAAATCGTATCTCTCGGAGGAGACGAGGGTTTCGTGTTGTCTACGTATTCATCAATTCCTGATTTATTTATTTATTTTTTTTTTTTTTAAGTTATTTCTGGTACGGGCAGATGATTAATCAGCGACTATAATAAACCATAAGTCTACCATTTATCATTAATATCAATCGCATAGCGGATAAAAAAGCGTACAAACTTTACGAGCAAGAACTAAATTCACTACGCATCGAATCGTAAGTGATGACCAATTAATATGATTGATTAATGAAAGAATTGCATGATATAATTAATATCTATAACCTGTCCGGCTTCCAGACTCGGGCAACCTACTTTATTATTGTTAATTGTAGCCGAATGTTACTTCATAGAAAATCGTTAAAACTTCTAATTAAAAATCCAGTAGTAGAGCTACTCTTACTGGTTGGCACATCTTTTTTTATATATATTAACGCACACGCTAATTTGATTATTCAATTTTTGTTAACGTTCTTTTTTTCAAATTTTTTAAACTTTTATTACTTTCTACCATTATAATAACGAGTGACACAAAAAGAACTGAAATATGATTTTTTTTTTTAAACTCTGGTTAAGACTTCTTAATTAATTTATCATTAGATGGAAGCAATAAAAAGTGTTTGGAACAACAGAAGCTAAATTATCTGGTAAAGAAATTTAGCTTATATTCTGAAGGGCAATAGCGAGGTTGCGGCCGACGTTTTCATCTCTAAAACGTGAACTTCGAACGTCGAGCTCCGCTTACAAGATAGCGGCGCTCGACGTTCGAAGTTCACGTTTTAGAGTTGAAAACTTCGGCCGCAACCTCGCTAATAATTGTAGAAAATCTGCGTTAACCGAGCGAATAAAAGCGAGTTTGACTGACTACTTGACGTCGGTTTGATTAAGCGATTTAACTTATTTACAAGAGCAATTCGAGTTCAAGCAAGCGGAACCCCTTACCTTCGATTTCTGTCGATCTCTCTTCTTGCGTGGGCCAACTCCATCCCATGTCTCTCACTGCGGGGATAAAATTGGTTACGCCATTTTCTTTTTTACTGGCAGGGAAACGTAGAGAATACTCACTGGATAAATAAATAGCCAGACCGACGGCCACCACCAAGACGATGAGGATGACGACGAAGATGACCATGAGAGCCAACGTCCGACGTTGACGAACTTTTTCGCTTTTTATAAAACTCAATTTCCATAATCTCAGCCACGGTTGTTTTTTTAATTTAGCCGGTGTGGTCACCACCGTGGCCACGGCCGAATCTCGATCNGTTCTTGAAATTTTTATTTAAATCTGTATAATAAATTAAAAAGCATATTATTGATAGAATAATGTTCTCAAAATATGTGGCCTTTTCACATCAAATCATCTCAGATATCAGGTATACAAGTTTAATATTGCTTTGGATTCTATATTAAAAAATCTATTCATTCAAAATAATTAGATGATGTCTTCTACATTCTAATTTTAAAATTGTATATTGAAGTAAAATAATGTGCCTTTACAAATTTACCCACAAGAATACATACATTTTCTTGAAATTCTGTAAAAACTAATCTGTAAATGCACACTTCTAAACTTTTACTTTCAAAATTGTAAACAGTATAATTAAATGTCTGTTTCAATACTTTCAAAAAGAAATTTTTGCCAGGAAAAAGTCCTTCATTAAAGCTTTCAACTTAACTAGAAATTATTTATTACTTGAGACATGCATAAAGAAAACAAATACAGTATAGATTTTAATGAGGAATGAATTAAAAATACTAACATTTAAATATTTTATAATGATAACTTAATTAGAAATGATATCGATAACGAAAGAAAAACAAGAAATTTCTCTGGATTAAAATGTAACAGAAGTTTTATAACTTACACACAGTACAGTTGATTTCATCACTACCATCCCAACAATCAATATAACCATTGCAACGCATGGATACAGGAAGGCAAGAGGTCTTGTTACCACAATGGAATTGATCTGCTCCACATTCTACAAGAATAATGCATAATTAATAATTGAAAACTTCAGTAATTTATTTGAAATAATATACTAACCGCAATCGTATTCATCTGTCATGTCATAACAATTGAAATGTCCATCACATCTCCTCTTGCTGGGAACACACAAACCATTGGCACACTTCCATTCACCTTCTAAACATTCTGAAAATTTTGATAATTTCTCGTATAATTATGAATTTAAATCGTACATTTAAATAAAACATGCATTTTCATTTATTAAAAAAATTTTTTTAGAAACGTATCTTAAGATTTTCACCTTGAATGCCTGCCTTCAGGTGACTTCTTGTCGATTCAGTTCCTAATTTAGAGAATTTAGTCTCGTTGAAGTATTAAGCTCGGCAGAATTTTAGACATTTTTATTTAATTTTAATTCTATTCCTATTCATTTATCAGCGGTAGATTTCATTTATTACAAAGGCACATATTTAAGGGCATTTTGAGGGGAGATAAAATTCTAACAGCTGGAAATAAATCTAAAATGTTTAAGTTCAAAAGAGTTACCTGAGTCGTCAATACACTGAAACACTGTTTTGTTTAGCTGACGACACAATTCATGAATGCCAGAACACCAACCGCCACAACCACGTGGATCCGTAGGATCTTTGGTTTTAACACAATAAGCTTCGGATGCTCCAATAGCTAGAAGGCAAACTTCGCCATCAGGACACACGCTGCACGGTTGACCTTCCGAATTAATAAAATATTTTAAATGGTGATGACATGACATTTATTCATTTTAATCGAGCGTACATAATCTTAACACTCACGAATTTGTAGCAATGGCTTTGTTGTTGGTTGGCTTTGTCGTTCGGTTGTTGTTGTTGTTGTTGTAATGACTGTGGTCGAATCGGCAATTTCGCAAAAACATTCTTTAATTTCTAATTTTCGACTTTTGCCGGATTCTTGGCAAGGAATGTTATTCATTAAACGAGTCCCTCTACCATTCATAGTTCTACATTCGCGAGACCTACTCTGAACATTCTTTGGATCACATCTTCCTTGTAAATCCATACAAGACGACCATTCACTCCATTGGGACCACGCAGCTATAAATATATTATACAGGTAACTACTTTGACGATGTATAAACGGGGGTGAATTCCGTATCACTTACCATCGGAAATAGGAGTTGGCGGAGTTACAGTTGGAATTACACCTCTTATTCCTATAAAGAAAAGTAGCTTTTTAAAAAAAAAAAAACAATTGTAAATATTTAAATTCAAAATATAAGAAAGTTTATAACTTACCAACAAATTGTATAGTTTGTATATCTACATTTAAAGTTCCGGCAGGAAGCGTGCCATGGCCCATTTCCAAATTTCGTACAAAAATTAAACCTATTTTCTGAGCAATGTTATCGATGGGTCTATTCAGAAATATATGGCAATCGACGACGACACTTCCTTCACTGAAAACAATAGGTTTTATCAGTTTAAAACAAAAAAATAATAATAAATATATCGATTTACAAAAATTCCATTACCTAAATCTTACGATTTCGCTAGTATTGTAATCTCTGACTAAAGGACTTTGCAGGAACATGTCATCCAACTGAAATAATACAAATTATGTATTATTATATTTAAAAAAAAAAAGCTGTAAACTTCTTATCTGCAGCTGTAATTCATAAAAAACACGCAAGCCAAAATGCGGATGTAAAATTGTTGCACAATTACAAATTTAAAAAAAAAAAGTATTTGCTGTCTTATTGAATATTCTTTATTGTTATTCGGCTTTGAATATTTTCGCGTGTTCCGGTTGACTTAGCTGTTAGAAAAGATTGAGTGATACTCCGCATAATGTCATTTTCTTTTATCCCTCTTCACAAAAGAAAAAAAAAAATTTGATGTGTTTAGTCGCATACACCATGTTATTTTTTTGTCAAATGCTTTCGCATAAATATTTCCGACAGGAAATGATTTATAAAAAAAAAATTTACGAAGAATTATCCTGTTTGTCAACATTCCTATCGATCGGAAAATATATATATATATAAAACGAACAGTTGTTTTTTTTTAAGATTGCCAGTTTACTATTTGTAGAAACTGTAAAATGGGAATTTACCATAAATGTTTCTCACGTTTAATTCCTCTACATTGGTCATTATCCATTCTTCAAAAATTAAATACAGCATTCTTCTATGTCTGCCTATTAAATCGCCATTAATAATAGAGAGGTTGCGGCCGAAGTTTTCATCTGTAAAACGTGAACGTCGAGCGTCGAGCGCCTCTTACAAGATAGCGGCGCTCGACGTTCGACGTTCACGTTTTACAGATGAAAACTTCGGCCGCAACCTCGCTAATGCATCGATTATTTTAACATGTAATATATACTGTATATATAAAACTGACAAACCTAGTTGAATGTTTGGTTTTAATATTATGGATTTTACAAAAAAAGTTTCACACTTCAAGAAATTCGAAAAAAAACATAACCGTAAAAAAGAAAAGTGGAAAGAATTTAAGTTGGAAAAACCACGAAAGCAGAATTTCAATCGGAAATTTTACAATAGTTTCAATAAAAATGTGAATAGGGATCAACGAAATGCTTACAAAACACTCGTAAACTGTTAATAGCTAGCAACACATAAAGGAAGAATATACTTAAAGTATTACGCGATAGAATCGCAGTCTACCTGAAAAAAAATATATATATATATATATATATATATATATATATATATATATATATATATATATATATATATATATATATATATATATATATATATATATATATATATATATATATATATATATATATATATATATATATATATATATATATATATATATATATATATATATATATATATATATATATATATATATATATATATATATATATATATATATATATATATATATATATATATATATATATATATATATATATATATATATATATATATATATATATATATATATATATATATATATATATATATATATATATATATATATATATATATATATATATATATATATATATATATATATATATATATATATATATATATATATATATATATATATATATATATATATATATATATATATATATATATATATATATATATATATATATATATATATATATATATATATATATATATATATATATATATATATATATATATATATATATATATATATATATATATATATATATATATATATATATATATATATATATATATATATATATATATATATATATATATATATATATATATATATATATATATATATATATATATATATATATATATATATATATATATATATATATATATATATATATATATATATATATATATATATATATATATATATATATATATATATATATATATATATATATATATATATATATATATATATATATATATATATATATATATATATATATATATATATATATATATATATATATATATATATATATATATATATATATATATATATATATATATATATATATATATATATATATATATATATATATATATATATATATATATATATATATATATATATATATATATATATATATATATATATATATATATATATATATATATATATATATATATATATATATATATATATATATATATATATATATATATATATATATATATATATATATATATATATATATATATATATATATATATATATATATATATATATATATATATATATATATATATATATATATATATATATATATATATATATATATATATATATATATATATATATATATATATATATATATATATATATATATATATATATATATATATATATATATATATATATATATATATATATATATATATATATATATATATATATATATATATATATATATATATATATATATATATATATATATATATATATATATATATATATATATATATATATATATATATATATATATATATATATATATATATATATATATATATATATATATATATATATATATATATATATATATATATATATATATATATATATATATATATATATATATATATATATATATATATATATATATATATATATATATATATATATATATATATATATATATATATATATATATATATATATATATATATATATATATATATATATATATATATATATATATATATATATATATATATATATATATATATATATATATATATATATATATATATA